GATATAAAATCGATATATTTTGGAAAATAGCCTACTATGATCGAAACCAAGAATGCTTTAAATTGCAAAACATATCTAGGTATTATAAATGATAAAAAATGCTAATATAGATATAAAATCGATATTTTTTGGAAAATAGCCTACTATGATCGAAACCAAGAATGCTTTAAATTGCAAAACATATCTAGGTATTATAAATGATAAAAAATGCTAATATAGATATAAAATCGATATTTTTTGGAAAATAGCCTACTATGATCGAAACCAAGAATGCTTTAAATTGCAAAAACATATCTAGGTATTATAAATGATAAAAAATGCTAATATAGATATAAAATCGATATTTTTTGGAAAATAGCCTACTATGATCGAAACCAAGAATGCTTTAAATTGCAAAACATATCTAGGTATTATAAATGATAAAAAATGCTAATATAGATATAAAATCGATATTTTTTGGAAAATAGCCTACTATGATCGAAACCAAGAATGCTTTATATTGCAAAACATATCTAGGTATTATAAATGATAAAAAATGCTAATATAGATATAAAATCGATATTTTTTGGAAAATAGCCTACCATGATCGAAACCAAGAATGCTTTAAATTGCAAAACATATCTAGGTATTATAAATGATAAAAAATGCTAATATAGATATAAAATCGATATTTTTTGGAAAATAGCCTACTATGATCGAAACCAAGAATGCTTTAAATTGCAAAACATATCTAGGTATTATAAATGATAGAAAATGCTAATATAGATATAAAATCGATATTTTTTGGAAAATAGCCTACTATGATCGAAACCAAGAATGCTTTAAATTGCAAAACATATCTAGGTATTATAAATGATAAAGAATGCTAATATAGATATAAAATCGATATTTTTTGGAAAATAGCCTACTATGATCGAAACCAAGAATGCTTTAAATTGCAAAACATATCTAGGTATTATAAATGAAAAAAAATGCTAATATAGATATAAAATCGATATTTTTTTTGAAAATAGCCTACTTTGATCGAAATCATAAATGCTTTATATTGCATTTTAACACATATCTAGGTATTATAAATGATAAAAAATACAAATATAAATATAAAATCGATATTTTTTGTAAAATAGCCTACTATGATCGAAATGGAGAATGCTTTAAATTGCAAAACATATCTAGGTATTATAAATGATAAAAAATGCTAATATAGATATAAAATCGATATTTTTTGGAAAATAGCCTACTATGATCGAAACCAAGAATGCTTTAAATTGCAAAACATATCTAGGTATTATAAATGAAAAAAAATGCTAATATAGATATAAAATCGATATTTTTTGGAAAATAGCCTACTATGATCGAAACCAAGAATGCTTTAAATTGCAAAACATATCTAGGTATTATAAATGATAAAAAATACAAATATAAATATAAAATCGATATTTTTTGGGAAATAGCCTTTTATGATCGAAACCAAGAATGCTTTAAATTGCAAAACATATCTAGGTATTATAAATGATAAAAAATGCTAATATAGATATAAAATCGATATTTTTTGGAAAATAGCCTACTATGATCGAAACCAAGAATGCTTTAAATTGCAAAACATATCTAGGTATTATAAATGAAAAAAAATGCTAATATAGATATAAAATCGATATTTTTTGGAAAATAGCCTACTATGATCGAAACCAAGAATGCTTTAAATTGCAAAACATATCTAGGTATTATAAATGATAAAAAATACAAATATAAATATAAAATCGATATTTTTTGGAAAATAGCCTACTATGATCGAAACCAAGAATGCTTTAAATTGCAAAACATATCTAGGTATTATAAATGAAAAAAAATGCTAATATAGATATAAAATCGATATTTTTTGGAAAATAGCCTACTATGATCGAAACCAAGAATGCTTTAAATTGCAAAACATATCTAGGTATTATAAATGATAAAAAATACAAATATAAATATAAAATCGATATTTTTTGGAAAATAGCCTACTATGATCGAAACCAAGAATGCTTTAAATTGCAAAACATATCTAGGTATTATAAATGATAAAAAATGCTAATATAATTATAAAATCGATATTTTTTGGAAAATAGCCTACTTTGATCGAAACCAAGAATGCTATAAATTGCAAAACATATCGTGGTACTTTAAAAGATAAAGAATGCTAATTTAGGGTAAATGACTTTGAAATTTGCGCAACCTTGAAATTTGCGCACTCGTATGAAAACGAAAATTTTAAAATTATATCTGAAAATTGCACTTCTATTCAGACGATCAATGGGAAATGTCTGCAGAACACAAGCACAGATGTTTTTTCATAATTTTTAGTGGTCTTAAGGCACTAGAAAGCTTAATAATGTATTACCAAAAACTCCCATACAAAACTTAAATTTCTTTACATTTTGATTTTGAGATGCATGCATTGGTATAGATTAAATTTTGGTATCAGAAAATGTAGATCTGACATTGCTTAACATTTTTTAAATGGTTCCAATTCAAAATGATACCTGGAACTGCTTTAAAATTCATTTTTAAAATGGCTTGTTTTTGAACCTTGACATTTGCGCAGATTTTACGAAAAATTTTGAAATTTGCGCAGTGAAAAATAAAGGTCCTTACAACTGAAGAAGAAGTCAAAATTGCAAAGTGGTGTATAGATTCAGCCAAATAAGGCGATGCAAAAACTACAGAAGATTTGAAGGAAACTGCTCAAAAATTAAAGGATCTTGAGGATATGAAAGCTCAAAAATGAATTGACCGAGAAAAAAAGAAAGAATTGCGTGACAAAATTATGAATATTAAAAAGGAAAAACATGAAGCATCAACTCAAGTAATCAGGAAACGTGGTCGGCCAAAAAAGGCAATAAAATGAAGATAGCTTTTAGACTTTATACTAAATTTTAAAATTGAATTACTATGGATACATCATTTTGCTTGTTCCTTTTTGAATTTATTATGTGCTTTTGAACTATTTTGAAACCATTTATCTAGTGTTTTTTTTCCACGCTGAAATTTACTCCTAATACATCTAAGATTGTCCTGTTGAACATTAAGCTTTCACGGATTTTCACGAAACTAAATCAAATCATATAATTTGGTAATATACATCATCATTTCCCTTATATTTTGATTAATGTATTTTAAAATTGGATATGGTTTCAACAATATTTTTTCCAAGTTTCAATATTGCTGTCAAAAAAGTGCGCAAATTTCAAGGTTTTTTTGCGCAAATTTCAAAGTTTTCTGCGCAAATTTCAAAGTTCAAACTTGAAAGTCAAATTTCTTGGCATTGACACAGCAGAGCTTCCTATATCCATAGAAAAACAAAAATATCAATGATTCCCTGCATTTCAAGATCGTTAGAGCTTGAAGCAAATGAAATTTTCTTGTGTGAATTTGCGCAAATTTCAAGGTCATTTACCCTAGATATAAAATCGATATTTTTTGGAAAATAGCCTACTATGATCGAAACCAAGAATGCTATAAATTGCAAAACATATCTAGGTATTATAAATGATAAAAAATGCTAATATAGATATAAAATCGATATTTTTTGGAAAATAGCCTACTATGATCGAAACCAAGAATGCTTAAAATTGCAAAACATATCTAGGTATTATAAATGATAAAGAATGCTAAAATGGATGAAAAATATAAAAAAAACCCGCTTTTATCAAAAAGACTAAAAACCAAAAAGTTGAAAATAAAATAAGATCACACTTTTAGCGAATCACGATTTTAAAATTTTCTTGTGATAACTAGAAATGTTACATAAATTTTTTTTAAAATACTGTGATTAAGTCCAAGAACACAATGACTCTAAAAAAGTGGGGCTTTGAGATTTGACGCTTGTGTTGCTTAAGAACTTAGTTGAATTAAGAAATTCATCCTTTAATTACGCCCCACGCTTTAAGAGTCATTGTGTTCTTGGACTTAATCACAATATTTTGAAAAAAATTTATGTTACATTTCTTGTTGTCACAAGAAAATTTTTAAAATCCTGATTCGCTAAAAGTGTGATCTTATTTTATTTTTAACTTTTTGGTTTTAGTCTTTTTGATAAAAGTGTGTTTATTATATTCACACCGTTTTCACGTGTGAATCTATTGGTTTTGTTCAGATTGAAAAATCAGTTTTTCGCATTTTGTGAGAAAACAAAGCAAAATTGGTTATAAAAGGTCACAAAAGAAAAGTTTGTGCCTGAAATTTTACATCATTTTCAAAAAACAGATTTTAAATTGGTTGTGGCATTGCTGAGAAAATCGCAAAATACGCTTTCTGTAAGCAAACAAGCAAGCAAGCAAGTTAATCATCAAGAAATCTCAATAACGAGACATCGTAGAGACTTCTAGCTTTTTACATTTAATCCGTGCTGCTCTATAGAAGAGCTGTATTGTTTTTGGGCAAGGTAGGAACAGCCGTTGCTTCTGAAATGGCAAAAAACTTTCCTTTCTTACGAATTTTTCAAAACAAAAGTTGACTGTGATTTTTATAAAATTCAACTTTGGATGAAAATTTTTTTTAAAAAACTTTTAAAGAATTTTTGGCATATTCGTCAAGCTTTATACCTTTAAACTTATGCTTAGCGAAGCTTAGCTTTATACCTTCAAACTTATGCTGAGAAAAGCTCAACTGACTCGCTAGCTTTATACCTTCAAACTTATGCTGAGCGAAGTCTTGGTCTATCCATAAGACTTTTGATAGTACGATGTGAATATAATCCGCATTGGGTTCCTACCCGATACAATAGTTGTAGTTCTATTAATCCTTTATCTTATAATAATTATTATATCATATCTATTCGCATTTAAATGATGAAATTGATGTAAATTGTCTTTTAATGTTTGATTTAACCAACGGTTTTTTGAGATTCAAATTATATCCTATAAGTTTTTACCATAAAAATTTTCGTAAAAATGAACATTCGTAAATTTGTAATTCGTAATAACGGTTATTCGTTATTTTGCTTTTCGGGAAAATACAAAACACTCGTTAAATTTCTGTATTAAACGGTTTTCAACAATTCCATCACCAAAATTAATTAATTACAAAATACGGCTTAATTAAGTGAATATTATCTAAATTGGAAGTCAATGTGAAGAATGAAAAATCTTATATTCTTTAAATATGTGCTAAAAACAATAACATTGAGTCATATTGAATTTAAGTAACGAAATATTAGATTTAGTGATTTTTATATTTATAAATAATACTTTAAAATGGAAGCATTTGGAAACTTCTTTAAGTCTTTGTCGGAATCACTAAATGTTACTCATGAAACACCGAATACTGACGAAGATCAATTACGAAGAGATTCAACAGTTTCAGAAAGTGGATACGGCTCTGATACTTCAAGATCCAGCGAAAGTAATATTAATGAAACTAGAAGAGCTCATTTACGAGCAGCAATTACTAATCAAGCCAGAGAAGACGACGATGAGGAATTTGAAACTAGAGGAATGCGAAATAATCAACGATTTACATCAAATAATTCAAGGTCTGGATTATCAACAGGTGCAGTTGTTGGATTGGCAGCACTAGCTATTGGAGGATATGCTATTGGAAAAGCATTTTTATCAAGTAACAAGAAAATATCGGAATCAAAAGAAGAGATTGTTGAGAAAATAAAGGAAATTGAAAAGTACGTATGTCACTTAAATTGAATTTCACAATATCGAGTAACTTTATGTCTATTTTATTTCACAATAGAGACTCAAAAGAGTTTCCTGTCGTTGGGTTTGATTGTCAATGGACACAAACGTTTGAAGGATCTCGAAGGAATAAAATTGCTCTCATTCAAATTGCATCACATAAAGGAAACGTCCTGTTGATTCAAATGTGTAGACTTTATACGTACCCAGAGGAATTAAAAGCTTTCCTTCGCAATAGAAACATCATTAAATCAGGAATTGAAGTACTGAAGGATGCACGTTATTTACTCGAAGATTACGGCCTAGTTGTTTCAGGAACATTTGATCTAAGATTTTTAGCCGAAGACACTAGCCATGAGCCACAAGGTTTGCCAAAATTAGCAAACAAAGTTTTAGGTATGGAACTAGGAAAAGATTGGGAATTAATTGCTTCCGACTGGAACAAAGAGGTTTTAGATGACAATCAGCAAACTTATGCACAAAAGGCAGCAAAAGCTTCGGTAGACATATTCAAGACTTTAATAAGCTTTGTGATAAGTGATGTTAACCGACCAGAAATACTTAACTATTGTGCTGAATATTTGGATAGAACATATATATTTTATTCTCAAAAATATTGAACGGATTTACATCTTCAAGTAACCAAGTCTTTTACCTTTTGAAAAGTTATTAAAAAATAAACATGTAATAAAAATATTAATTCAGTCTGTGTTATCTTGTGGTCTAAACAAGCCAATTGCAATAAGCTCACTTCTTGTTAATTCTTGTCCATTAGGTGGTGCAAATCCACGTCGATTACCATTTTGGATTACTTTATTAACATCTTTGTAAATGTCAGTTGAAATGCCGCTTTTTGATGACGGATCACTTTTTCGTTCTGTCCAATAGTCATTTTGATATCCATCAGCAACAAACTTGGACAGAATCTTCCGACGACTTTCACAAAATCTATATAAAGGTATTAATTAAGTCCTTTCAAATGCAAACCATATGAGTTATATTACCCAGCCAAATCTCTAATCTTCTGTTGCTGATCCATAACGTTGTTTATTGATATTTCACGTTCCATTAGTGCTGAAAGAGATTCTGTAGAGCGTCGCAGCGCTTCCAAGTTCTCTTCGAAAATAGTTTTCCAAGTATTAAGATCAATAAAGTATGCGAAGACATAGCTAAACATAAGCACACGTCGATTTTGATATAGAGCATTAACAGCATCTTCAATGAAATCATGGCACATCCAGTGCTTGTTGGAACTGAGACTTTCAAGTAATATGCCTGGCTTGAAATATGACTTTTCAAATTTGATTGATTCTTCCATTAGCTTATATAGATTGAAATAATGAATAAAATCACCATCAAATGTTTTATTAGACTCGGGTCCTCTACGAACAAAGGCTTCGCAAGCATAATGATCTTTAGTAGTTTTCATGCATGCCCAACAGAAATCCAATTTACATTTTGGACAATACATATGATTACAGCCTCCATTTTTTTGAATCGGTGACTTACAGGATGGACAATTTTTTGTATTTTCATAAATCCATTTATTTGATAAGCCATCAGTTTTAATAAGTTTCTCCCATTTGACTACAGTTTCACAGATAACTGGTTCATGAAGATCAATCCCACATTGGAAGCAAAATATTAGTCCACAAGAGCACTGAACCGTTACTTTAGCAATTTCTGTTTTTATGACACTATTGCATTTTGGCATTGGACAGAATCGAATTAATCGATTGCACAAAACATAGTTATTGCATAGAAGGAACTTGTATCTTTCACGAACTGTCTGATTTGTCAATGTACTAATTATCATGTTCTCATCAAGCAGTAAATGACATTTATGTGCTGGACAAGCAATTCCATCACCACAGCCTTCATCAATGATTTTTAATGTCAAGTATTTTTCCCAGCATTCTTTACAATATCCATGACCGCAAGAGATTTTCAGTAATTCATTATCAGCTTCTAGACAAATTTGGCAGTGTGTTGCAATTTGTTGACTGATGTTTATTTTATCTGGAACTTTAATTTTCAATGAGTTAATCAGCTCTTCTTCTCCAACTTCATAGAATCTGTCCAATAGCTTAATTTTGTCCCAATTGAAATTATTGAGTAAAAGCTTCGTTAGCTGCTTTGATAGTTCTGTAACATTTTGGATTTCTCTTATCTCAGCTTCCATAACATCTTTAACATCATCAAATGATAAAATTTGAATCTTGTTGACTTTCTCGCTCGTCAATTCCGACAAATTAATCTCATCTTCGCAATCTGAGCTATCCAAACTTATTTCACCATAATCGACATCATCTGTTTTATTTTCAACATCAAATGAATCATCGTGCTTTAAACAATCATAGTTTTCTTGATCATTCTCCATTAATTTACATCTCTTTTTATTAACTTCCATCATTTAAACCTTGTTGCACTTTTTATCTTTAAATTCTATTATCACAATGGCTTAATTCTATTAAATTTCAAATTTTTAATCTAATACACTCTTTTGACTATTAATTTTATGAATGTAATAGTGCGGCAACAATTGATTAGCATTTCAAATATTTTTTGACGGTTATTTTTCAAATATTTGGTAATCGTTATGCAATGTCTTTCCAAACACAAAATGATCAACATTGATAACTTATTTAACCACTTTAATAAGTCAGAAGATTAATGACATGATAAAAACGAACAAACAGAAAGATTGATGTTAATTTTAGGACAATTTTTTATAATCAAATACCTACGTGAATTTAAAACCTGTTTAAAAACATTTAAGAACGTGACAATTGTACAGAGCTCAATTGCAGCCGTTTCACACATTTAAACACATTTTATAACATTGATATATCAATCAATAGATGTGTTATATGCATCTTAATTCTGAAAATTTGTAACATTTGATAACATTATTCCTAAAAGCTACAACAACAAATTTTATCGTCATCTCATTGTGGAGATTCCTTTGCATTTGATTAATTTTTTTTTTATTTTTGATTATTTGATATAATATTGAAAGTTTAAAATATAAATGTAAATGAGAATATTAATAAATGTAGTTTAAAGCTTCACAATTATATGATTTGAAGCTGATAAGAAAAATCACGAATTTAAACGAAGAACATTGGTGTGCTTTGAATAAAGGCTGGATTAATTTGCAAACGTCTGAATTCATCTTGGAGTTTATTCATGTTCAAATTTCTGCCAATAATGTAATTCTTGCCTCGAGCAGCAACCAAGTGAGCTAAAGTGAAAATATTTAATCAATAAAATGTCAAAAATTAGAATCACTAAGTTAATACCATAGTAAGTTGGTGCTGGATAAGAAACTGAACGGCTGCATCGCGTGAAAAGATGACACAAATCTGTAAGAAATAACGTTTAATGGTAAAATCAATTCATGTGATTTAGAATAATCCCAACTTACCATAAGTAACAGCTTGTAAGTCATCGGGTTGAATGTTTGATTCATTAACCAAAATGCAATATTTTGTAGGCTTTGCGACTCCCTAAAATTCATAATTTTATTAAATACTAATACTTAAGTAAAAGTCATTCGAGTATTACCTGAATTGCAGCATGAGATGCCAAAAAGAACTGATATTGGAATGGATGGACGATATCTTTATCAACTACGGTTCCTGGCATGATATTATTGTTTTTTCCGTCCGAGAATCTTTTATCAGTCGGGAAAAATCGTGTATGATGACGTTTTTGAACGACAATGAATGTAACTTCAGCATGCTTGTTCGTTCCATACATTCTTTTTAAGGCTCCTCTTATTGCAGTCATTTCTTTCTCGAGTACTTCCTTGAATTGTCCATCAGAAACACCATCACTAAAAGCAATAAAGTTGATTAATTAATAACGAAGGAAACACAACAAGTAATCAACGCATTCTCACCGATAATACATAATCTTGGCTGGCAACTTTTTGTTATTTTTCGTTGCATAATACTTCAAATGCTCCACTAAGATCTCTTCCAAGTCACTAATCATTTCTTCTTTCGGATTTTGGAGTCTCCATGCACAGCAATATCTAAAACCAACTTGATCGTAGCTTGAAGCAACTCCAACAACAGAAGGAATACTTCTTTGATCTGGACTTGGATGTGTCACGTCCTTAAAAACATTAATAATATATATTATTAATGCATGTTTTGTTATAAAATAAATTAATGACTTACAGCTCCAACAAACATAACTCCAGAAGTTGCAGAGTTTATCGTTTTATAAGAGATTTCCTCAATTTCATGATTCTTGCCATTTAATTTTGCATTAAGCTTCAAAAGAATGTTCTTTATTGTTGAAGAATTAATTCTTGCGACAGTATTTGCTTTAATGCATTGTGTAAGTATACCAACAGTTAGTTCCGCAGCCTGCTTAACACGAGGATATGCATTGTCAAAATCAGTAACAACAGCCACAATTAATTGATATCCATTTCGTTTCATATCTTCGAAAATAGTTTCAAGTCTAGTATTTCGATCTCTTAAGTTGACAGTAATCATTTCACGTGAGGACACATCTTCAAGTTGAATCCCTTGTCTTATTGCTTCCTTAATTAATTCATTTTTCAAAGTATTTAATTTGTGTATGTCAGTGCGAAAATCAACATTTAAAATGCACCACTTAATTTTGTTATGGTTAACTTCCAGGAACTTATCTTCTTTCCATACACCTCTGTCTGGAGTCACAAGTGCATTGTTCCTATATTTAAGCTTTGGTGGATCAATGACACGAGCTTCAGTCTTCTCAAACGTTTTATCAACTTTAATTCCAAATCCTTTAACTGTTGGATCGATTTCATAATTGATTTTATCAAGCAATTCTCTAATCTTTCTCTTTCTTTCATCAGTCGATGTTGCTGAATATCTTATCAAGCCGCGAGTAACATTTGGTGTGCACTTTTTATTTGTCGCTTGTCCCGGAGGCACTTCACAAAATTCGATCGGTAAGTAGGTCTTTTTAACTTTACTTCCTACCCACCTGTTGAATGAAAATAGAATTATTTGATGAACATTTTAATTATTTGTTAAAAACGCAAGAAATTTAAAGTGGGAAGACTTACGTACGTAAAAATACGTAAGATGTTTGCGTACGTAATAAAAAGTAAAACATTCACGTACGTAAAATACGTACGTAGTAAAGCGTAACACATTTACGTATGGAATAAAACGTAAATGCAGAAAGACAGACAATAAAACGAATTGATAAATCGAATTTTATAAAATACTCACAGAACCGGCAAATTAGGAAATCTCAATCGGATTTTCTTCTCATTTTCAAAGTACTGTTGAACAGTGATTTGCTTTCCATTGTGTTCAAATTTAGCTTTTGATGCTTCATCTCCAAGACCATTAAATCCATACGTTTTGTAAGGTTCATTACGATTCAAGCGATATCCAACAGAGAGCATTTGCAAAAATTCTTCCAATCTATCTCTTCCTCTTTGGTCCAAACTATGAGGGATATCAGAAATTCGTCCGTCTCGGTCAGTTGTTCTCAAAAGATCTACAACAGGCAAAGCTGAAGGAAAAGCTTTATGCAAAACATCAACATTCAAGTAAATCTTTGCACGACCGAGAATAGCTGATTGAAAAAGACCAAGCCACAATTCCATTCCATCACCCAAATCGCTCTTTCGATTAGGCACAAAGAAAACAGCTCTGCCCGTTGGAATTGCAGTTCCATTATCAATATTACGTCGAAATGCAGATCTCAAAATTATGTCCAAAGCTTGAATTGCTCTAGCAGGTCTGTCAATGTTATGATTCTCAGCTCTTTTGTATGTTAGAAGAACTCCCATATCCACTTCAGAGACACATTGAATCTTGATTTCGTATTCGCGAGAGCGGTCTCCAAGATGAGCTACAACTTTTGCACTATACAAATCGACTTCATTTCCCTTCATTTTTAGTTTTTGATTAGTATACATATTCTTTCGACCATCAAATCCATAAAAATAGCCACCAAAAATTGTTCGCATGAATTCGTGTAATGCAGCAGGAAGCATTTTTTTGGGAGTTTCAGGAAGAAATGTTACATCATAATGGAAGCATGATTTGGGCAGATTAACAAAATTAATCGTAGCATAATTTACTTCGACTGTGCATTTTTTGCCTCTCTTTCCTTCGTAAACTCTACCATCTGGACTTGATTCAATTAAGCCACTAAATTTTTTAGTTGAAGAAATCTGTAATTGTTGGACATCAGGCATCGATGCATCTAATGTTGACTGTGCAAATTGTGGTGTTGGTTCTCTTGACATTTGAGAAGGACTTGGAGTTGGCTCAACTGGAACTTCCTTTGGTCTTGGCACCTTACATTTCTTGCATGCATCGAATCTATCAAAATTCTTCTGTTCACATTTTAAACAAAACCAGACTCCTTTGCCTTGACCTTGTTTATCCTTATTAGCCTTCTTTGACGGCTCTGCTTGTGGATTTTGAGCTTCTTGTTTAACAATTTCAGGCTGCTTTTGAGGAATTACCTCTTGTTTAGGCTGTTGCTGGACTGCTTGTGGTTTTGGCTGTTGAACTGCTTGTGGTTTTGGCTGTTGAACTGCTTGTACTATAGGCTGTTGAACATGTTCTTTCTGTTAAATAAAAATCATAAATTTGTGTTGATTTTAAAATGTAAAAAATATCTAATATTACCTTTTGAGCTTGTTTTTGTGGCCGAGACTGTTCTGTAAATTGCTGTGAAGTTCCAGCTTCTTGAAAACCTCCTTTTGGCTTAGAGCATTGTCTGCATTGGACGTTGTTGCTATAGTTCACATATCCACAACTCAAACAATCCCAATTGTTATATTCTTTCTGCTGAATCACAAATATGTTAGGCTTCGTTTATTTCATTATTTAATCGTGTCTTACCTTCTGCTGTTTTTGGGGATTATCTCTCGGTTGTTGAGGTCTAGGCTGTGGATTTTGTTGGTGTGGTCTTGATTGCTGTGGATTTTCCCGTTGTTGTTGATTCGGTCTTTGAGAATTATCTTGAGATGATTGCGATGGCTTATATCCGTCATCTTGCTTATCTCCTTTCTTCTTACCCTCTTAAAACACAAAATTAATAGATTATTTTAATGCATATTTATTAAAAAGTTGCAAATTTGTAAAAATTTCAAAATGTTTCGTCATTAATTTTTTCTTTTTCAAATTTTTCCAAAAAAGACGTGATTTCTGCTACTTACTTCCCATTCTTTACGAGTTTCAGGTTCAAGGCGTTTTGTTTTAGTAGTTTTTAAACAAATAATGTTAATTTAAGCAAGTTAAAATCTTTTTTTCTTTGAATAAAGTTTTTTTGTTGTTTTTTTCAGACAAAAAAGAATATTTTGATTAAATTTTGAAATTTGAATTTTTCATTACCGTTATTTTTAATAGTCAGTCAGACAAAAAAGACACATGACATTTATTCTATGAAACAAACAGATTTTTTTCTTTAACAATCGCTATTCAATCTTTTAATTATTAAAAATATATTTTTTAAGGATTTCTGTTTAACATTTATTAATTTTAGATGTCAGGTGAGTTAAAAATATCTTATATATTTGACATTGCATTTCTTAAATGCCTGTATATATCTTAAAAAGGTTCAAAAGGGAAGCTGTTTTTAAAACCAGCAAAGACGGGCTTTCAAAGATTAGAAGCAAATTCCAACAATACATCAGAAAATGGCAATTCTTTTAATGCTGTCAACAATCCCTTTCTAAAATGCGAGGAGAAGGAGGAGGATACACCAAAAAATGAAAAATTAGAAGATCCAGCTAAGGATATTTCGAATGAATTAAGAGAACATAAAACAGATGAGTTGTTTAAACCTGCTAAGAAGAACCTTAATTTGTTTACTAACGCGACGACATTATCAGAAAATTCCAATTTTGTTTTCGGTCAAAATCTCCATGCAAGAGTTGTTATTGTAAGTAAATAGTCACTCTCACTCGCCATAATATATCAAAAATAATTTTTATAGGATAAGAATTCACCATCACTAGAAGGTACAAGCAAAAAGTCTGATGATGAGTCAAACAGTAGTTCTGGATTATTGTTTTCAACTGCCCTAAAAGAGGAATCGGCAAATAATGAGAATGTGGACCAAGCTAAAGATGCTTCAACACAACTGATCGAAAAGAAGGAAGACGATAAAAATACAGAAAGTTCAAAAGCGTCTACAAACGACAATAGTTTGAGTCTTGTTGAAGCGGCAAGAAGGTATGAGGAAATGAAAGGCGCTCAGAAACGAAAGTATGAGGAAGTAGAAATTAAAACTGGGGAAGAGGATGAAAAGAACATATTGGAGATGAACTGTAAACTATTTACATTTGATAAGAATAATTGGGAAGAGCGAGGAAGAGGAACATTACGTTTAAATGACTGCAAAAATAGTTCCCGTGTTGTTTTCCGTGCGAGTGGAAGTTTTCGTGTTTTATTAAATACTAAAGTTTTTAGAGATCAATTATGCGAGCAACCAAGTTCTAAAAGTCTACGATTAACGGCAATCGATTCTGCTGGTTTGATTAAAATCTATCTTGTTATGGGTAAAAATGAAGACATTGAAAATCTTAATCATTATTTAAGTAATAGAATTCAACGTGAAAAAAATCGAACACCAGAGCCTGAAGACGAAGAGAATTCTCGTCCTAATGAGACAGTGGATGTCAATGAATCATCGGAACCTGCTAACAAAAAAACAGCAACGAGTGACGAGTGATTATGATTAACACATAGAAGTTAAACAATATATTTTAATTAAAATAACTACTAAACATTTGTACAATCCGAAAACAATTTTCGCTTTTAAACTTTTTGAATTTTTTTCAAACTCTATTCATATACAGTTAAATGCATCAGAATTAAAAAACCAGAAATATCAAATCATCATAAATCAATATGAAATTGAATGAAAAATCAAGGATTTAAAATTTAAACAAGCAAGCTGAACAAGCTTAAAACTTTATTTTTCGCTTAAAATGTCGGCACTTTCTTTATAATATCAATTCTCTAGTTTATGAAGCTATTAATAAACCATTTATTTTAAAATGGTATCTAAATCGACAAATTCTTGTTTTCTTTTAATACATTCCTTTACAGGATTTTGTAACAGCATGAAAGATAAGGATGTCTTTATATTAATTATGGACAAATTCATTCAGTCGATAAAATCATTTTATGAAATAGAATTTAAGCGTTTTTATGGTTTTATCATACATTTAAAAGTTAACTCGAATATTTTATAGGTATCTTACCTTACCACGACATTCAATATTTTATAAAATAATAAATATGAATTTAATATTAGAACGAGGAGAATGAATCCAATGATCTTATTTATTCCGCATGCCTGGAACAAAAGTGTACAGTAAACGTATTACTGACCGAAATTTACGTATTCATGAAGATGCTGCAAAATATCTCCGGAATTAAGATCCAAATTCAGAATTTTAAAATTTGATCAAGCAAATTTCGTCAGATACACAAACGCATGCTAAAGTTCAATAATTATCATAAAAAGCAGTAATTAAAGGTGTTCATGGATGTATTAGCTGAACCAACAAAATTGGATTATCTTCAAAAAGAATATGAGTCAAAAAAGGAAGAATTCAAGATTAACGTTAAGAATAATATGCTAGAAAAGCACGATGGCAAAAAGCACTTGCAAGAACCATCAAGAAAGCTTTTTTTTGGCACAAAGTGAGACATGCATTGAATATGCATGTGACGGACAAATAATAAAAGATGTTGAGCACTAAATCATACGTAGTCGATATGAGGAAGACAATTAAATTAATAATCACACGACAGATTTTCGATCTTATTTAAATAATCGAACAAAGGTTTATAAATGCTTTAAATCATTCAGTAAAAATTCTTAGTTTTTTAAACATATCATTGGTGCTGAAGTTGACACATCAAAAGCTCATCCATCAATGGATTTGTTTTAGCGTATTATCAGGAACAAATTGAGACTAGAGCAGTTGAAATTGTCAAGGAATCACGTAAATCACCATTAAAAGAGTAGTCATCGTTGTCGTAGTCGTCATCATAAGAATTGGATACAACAGACAGTACGAAAGAAAAATTGCAAAAGTATGAAGATATAAGTGCTGATTAATTAACAGTACCATTAAACAAAATTTTGTAAAAAAAAACTAGTCTATTGAGTAGAAACAAGGCGTGGATACTGGGAATAATCCCAATAATCTTCAATAATCGGGATTATCAAGATAATTTTAATATTTTTCAAATTTAGATTTTCTTAAATGATAAAATTTTGACTAGTATTAGAGAGATAAATATCCACAAAAATCTTTGGATACATTTTAAGTTCAGAAATCAACTAGCCTTAAAAGGTCAAAAAGTGATTTTTTTACTAACGAAATCTGGTGCACTAGTCAAAAATTTGGAAGTTTTAAACAGTCTTGCACTTTCTATACTTTTACCACACTTGCTTTGCTCTTACTATAATTTTACATTTTACTACACCTAAACTACACTTGCTGCATATTAACTTAATTTTACTCAATGTTTTGTACACTTTACTGCGCAATATTCACTCATAGCTATACTATTTTGGGAGTTCTATGGCTGATTGGAAAGACAGCTTCTGTCGTAGGAAGCAAGGATGCAAGTATCAGCGGATCTTAAAGACAATTTTCAGTAGAGTGCCGTTCAAGTTATATTTAAATTAACAGAAAAGGAGACCTTTTCACATTCTAATCAAAACATTCCTCTGAAGACACCCTGATGATTGAAACAAACAATGCAATTAAGAGTAGCACAAAAACAAAAAGCATTAAGTCCTCAAAAATAGCAGACAAACTTAACATTTAAGTTAAAACAATCGAGTTTAATGTGTTAATGATAATCGTATACGATTAAACAGGTTTGCAAGAATTGTGTTTAATAACTTGCTTGCTTAATGACAAGGGTAGCCTCTTATAGCCGAGCAAAATGATTTCTTAAGTCAGTTGAACGAAAACATTCAAACTCTTTGGAACAGACAGTAAGCAAAAGCAAAAAGAACGTGACAAAAATGAAGAATGTATTGTTATTTTGCTTAATTAGTTTGGGTTTTGTTGCTGTTAATGCACAAATTTCAAGGCTGGAGAATTTCGATGTTAACGTTTTATTGAAGAACGATCGAATTTTAAATAATTATATGAAGTGCTTATTAGACAAAGGACCTTGTACCAATGATGGAAGAGATTTAAAGAAGCATCTTCCTGAAGCTCTCGAGACAATTTGTGGCCAATGTACACCTAAGCAGAAGAAAGATACAAAACAATTGATAAATCATTTGGAGACGAAAAAGCCACAAATATTCAGCGAGGTACGTGCAAAGTACGATCCAAATGGTGAACGTCTTCGTGCATTTAAGTCTTTACAAATTTAAAAATAAAGTGTTTGGATATATCAAAAGACTTCATTTATTTTCTTAGTGACATTTTTTGTACCTTTAAAAAGTGAAATAAAAAAAAATTTGTGAAAAACTTTAAATTTATAATTTTCAAATATATAAGCTTAGAAATTTAATTGATTAAGAATCCAATAACTTCTCGCATCATGTAATCTTCGAAATCCATTTCATCGCTATCGCTGTAATAGTAAAATGGATTATTATCGAAACTATCATCATCGCTGCTATCACCAAAATCAAAGTCATCATCTGATTCACTATCGTCCATTGATTCCGTTTCGGACGTTGGATGACTAGACAAATTAACAAATATTTTATCTTCTTCATGCCACATGCTCTTTTCAGGTGAAAAAATCACTGCTGCTGAGTCACTCTTGTATTGATAAACTTTAAATCCATTCCCATTAATGTCATTAAGAATATTCTCGGAAATTGGAAGATTCCAGTCATAAAACACTTCTAATGTATGCAAATTCTGACAGTTTTGTTTGAAAGCCTTTAGAGTTTGACCAGTTGGTTTAAATCCAGGTCCAAAGGTTGCATATTGTAGCTTCTTTAATCTCATTGTTGCCTGTTCCATAACTTCATTTACGTCATCATAAATCCATTTCACGGAAATCTTTTCTAAATTATTTTGATTGAAAATTATTGACTGTAAGTTGGTGTTAGTATCAATGCTTTCAATATGTAGTTCCTTTAATGAAGCCATTGTTAATTCTGGAGTGCTTTCAACAAGAAATGGAATTTTTAGGAACGTTATCATTGTTAAATTATTAATGATAGTGACAAGTATATCGTTGGCTACTTCTGATGTCCAATTATTAATTGACAGATCTTTAATTTGGCGATAAATTGTAAAAATACCTTGAGCTGCGACATGACTGTTGAATTCACCAGTAAGAACCAATTTTGTCAAGTGATGATTTTGACGCAATGAACTGTAAAATGTAGTGGAATCTTTTGGAAGATTTGATGCATTAAGCATCATTGATTTAAATTTCATTTTGGTGAACAAATGTTCGAAGATTTTTGGACTTAATTTACTGTCAGTCTCAAAATGCACCAATGTCTCTTTATGCTGATCCAAAAAATCAATTAAATATTTTCCATTAGTTTCATCATTCCAGTGCTTAAAAGTAACAGCTAGCTTCTTTAAACGGAACTTTAGACTGCATGCTTCATCATTCAGCAATATTCGATAGATTGAAATTTGTTGAACACGAACTGCCAAACTTGATAGTGTATTTTGTAGCTTTAAAAATTCAAGAAAATGAATGACATCTGAGGGATAAAAATAACGATGATGGATTTTTAATTCTTCCATTTGAGTCTCTCCAATAGCTTCAAACAATGTCCAATCGCTGTCAATCACTGTCAATGATTTCAATGATGGAATTTCAATCTTTTCTTCCTTTCCCATTTTCTTGTTATTTGAATGTTTTGATTCGACAAGAGTAATCCTCTCAACTGAACTTAAATTCCTTAATAATGTTTTCCATGATGCCTCAGTTTGATCGACATGAATCAGTTCCAGGATGCGAATATTTCCAATTAATGCTTTTAAAGGAGTTACAATTAGGCATGTCATACGAACCTCGTCAATAATTAATGAATGATAATTTCTCTTTAAAGTTTTAATCTCTTCTAATTTCTCCTTTTGATCACTTATTCTTTCCCTGTCTATAATTAAAGGGAGCTTCTTCATTGTTGACAATGATGTACCAATCATTTCTGCCCAACTGTAATATATTTAAAGATTTATTTGATTTTACGCGCTATAGTAAGCTGCATTTAAGTTATATTTTCGTAATAACAGATCCAGCTGTGTTACATTACTCTAATTAAAGGGAAAGAAATGAGAAATTTACCTCGAACATGTTTCCATGCAGCATTTTAAGGATGACCCATCAAGATATTCAAAGATTTCCATCAAAACATAATTATTTAACTTATCCATAATTGAGTTTCAATGTTTAATTAACTTGAATATTTCACAATAAGAGAATTGTGTAAACAATATGAAATTTCGATTTTCCTCTATTTTTTTGTTTTGTGTTTTCAAGCTTGTTTTTCACAGTCTCTGTATAAATTGAATCACTTTGTCTTACTATTCTGTTCTTATTCCGTTTTGTTTACAATTAAAACTCTAGTTTAATTAAAAATTACTAATTTCACGTGCTATTTGATCTTCAAAAAATTTTGATTTAAATTGGTGGTAAAATTTTGAATTTTTGAAAACAGTTAAATTTTGATTTTTTTTTTCTTGAAAATTAATTTTAAACAATTTTATTCATTCAAAAATCATTTAAAATTGATGATATAATCTGCGTCACAATCATTTTGCAGCCTAAACATAGTTCTACTCTAAATAGCGCCAATTATAGCAACAAAACAATTTTTCAAAAATAATATACGTTAATTTATTACAAAAAGTACGAATTAAGTTCACATGCTGGATCATAATAAAAAGTTTTAGTGATATACATCAATATTCATCATCTTATGCATTTTTAATGTTCTTTTTTGGAAGTAAATAGACAATCATATTGAAAAATGCTAGTCCAACTGCAAATGCAAAGACAATTGAAATATCAATGTACTCGTTTGTAAAGTTTTGTGATCCAATTCGTTCAAGTAGAAATTCTTTTGGACTCGGACATACTATTGATGGATTAGCATTTTTCGGATTGCAGCTCATTCTACGTGACAAAAATATTGCACTGTGTAAAAGTGCCGATGCATAATGTGAATGTGAAGTAGCTTTTGTAACGTCTTGAAGAATCGGCTGTAAGCCCTTCCAACTTCTAACTGTTCCTGATCCAAGAGTTATCAAAACGCACAAAATGTATGATGTAGCTACAACTGCATTTATAGATGATTTGATGAAAAATAAGAAGAATATTGAAAGTTGTTCTGCAAGCATGTAACTGGTCCATATAGCAATTAAGATATAAATGAATGGATATCCAGTGTCAAGGTTTGAAGGATCCAAAATCATTGGGTATATAACGCTTGCTGCTATAGCTGAGCTTATAAATGAAAATGGAATTGAATAAAAATTGTAGGATAGTAATAAAGTCACTCCTGAATATAATCCTTCAAAGTTCTCTTGAATAAATTTCTTTTTCCAAATTGGAAATAAGGAAATTGTCGTCAAAATTCCAGCTCCATAAGATAGCCCTAATATGTTTAATACCATGCTGTTTTTGCTAAAGAATCCATGCTTGTCGTCCTGTAAATTAAGAATGTTTGTATATTTTAATAATACAAGATTTTAGGTATGCTTTACCCCAACATTGCTGTAAAATATCCATAAGATGCTCAATAAAGTAGGCAGTGCGAAAATTCTCAAAAACATGGTTTTAATGCCCGACATTCCACATGAAAATGTTGATGCTAAAAGTCGAACGAATAAAATCCCAAAGATTTTGAACTCTGATGGTTTTCCATATGCAAGTGGGATCTTTCCGATAATATTTGCTGCTGGTGGTGAGTCTGATAAATTTGTTTCTCTTGAAAATCTTTCAACTAGTGCCTCAATTTGTTGACTGGATTCTAAAAAGCGATCTCGACTCCTAAAAAAATTTAAATGAATTAAGAAATTTTAATTAAGTACTCAGAGCATATATAAAGGAACTTGAAAACAGCAGTAATCCCCAAAGTGTAGTAAAAATATTTTTATTGACATCTTTTTTAAAGTACAAAAAATATATCAGAAATTAAAGCACATGATTTAAGTACAAAGTTATCATATAATTACGGAATGTGTCAATGTCTTATTTCCACTTATTTTATATTTTAATGTTCTGATGAAGGAATGTAAGGTTTTCTATATCTTCAGCAGGAAGATTCTTGCATTTTTGATAGAATGAATTATCCATTGTAAGAAAACAGCAATTACTGTGGAATGTACAAGACGGAAGATTAAGAAAGTTCTTCGCTAGTCGTTTAAGGTATGGGAATGAATCATTTGTGGCCCAGAATTCTAAAATCTCAATAGGATTTTCCAATTTATAACCCATATAACGCTGTATCTCAGAGTCAACTTGATCGTCAACGCTTTCCATCGTTATATCCATAAATTCCAGGAATGTGTCATTCAAATGTGCTTGATTTTTAATCACTTTCGGTTTTTTATTCGGAGGCTCACTGGAACTATCCTCACTCATTAGTTTCTCGAGATTTTTCTTAATAATATCCAATAATTTATTGCGTTCACTAGCTGGTAAAAATTTAAGACTCTTAAAGTTGGGATTTAAGAACACTGCAATTTGATAGAGTTCACAAATTTTGTTGTTGAAATTTTCTTTGATCAGCTTCAAAATTGATATTCCAAGATTATTGACAGTTTTGTCAGTCGATGTGAATTCAGAATAATGTTTGAGAAATTTCTTGCACCAAAGATAAACTCGATTGGCTGTGACACAATAAGTGCCATCATCATTTGTTTCAACAAGGCTCATAATAGCTGAGAATAATATACCTAATAAGTTCATAAATTTTTTCATCATTCCACTGCTATGTACATCATCACTCTTTAAAAGTTGATAAAGTGAGTAGTAAGTATTCATCTTATACACATCGCTACTGTCTTCAAAACTATGTTTTTGTGGTATTGTTAACAATTCGTGTGCCTCAATGTAAACTTTCTTAAAGAAGTTTCTTGCTTCATCACTTGCGTTCATTACAGTTAGAACAACTTTAGCGATGCGACTAATAACACATGGAAATACATCAAAATCAGAAAATGCTTCTTCAGATACACATTTAAGAGGGTTCTTGCAATTTTTGTATGGTTGTACAATGTCTTTCACGATTTTCACAATATTATTTTCACTGCTACATTTGCGTGTTCCCACGATAGCATTTTTGTATTCAAAGTTCTGATTAAAGTAATAAACAAATACCGTTATATATTTTTCATTAGAATAATTCGTCCATGTTGCATACGAAATTGAAAATTCAATATCTTTCAATTCAATCATCAACTCATTTTGAAGTTTAGAGCACTTTTTCGGAATTACTTCTCTGGATATAATATCACGATTTATGAAATTTGTAACATTCTGTTTTCCATAATCAGCTCCATAATTAACGAGATTTTGAAGAAATCCTAAGTAAGAGGAATCTCCTAAAATTTCAGTTGTTATCAAACATTGGCTTAACCATTGTATTTGTGCGTCTATCAGTCCCTTCTCAGCACTATTTACAATATTTTCAGAACGTGGTCCTTGCACTACCACTATCGGCATTTTATTTAAGTTTTCTCCTTTCAGAGCTGTTGTACTTGTTGATGAAACCGAAGCAGAAGATGTTGACTGCTTAGGATTAAATATTGGTGCTGGTGTTAATGGCGGTAGAGTCACGGAAGACGTTGTTGGACCTAGCAAACTATTCAAAGAATCATTTTTGGCATTTGATTGTTGTTGTTGTTGATTGAAATTTTTACACTTATGTCTAATCAAACTGGCAGTTCCAGTTGTTTTCTTGTATGATACAATCGAATTGCAAGAAAAACATTTAGCGAAATTTTGCCGAACATTTCTATAGTATACAATCTCAAAGCGATCCCATGTAGAACTGTGACGATGATTTCTTGGTCTAAAATGAAGAAAAATCAAATAAGATGTGGGGATTTCCAAAGTTCAATTGTATTTCTTGATACAGGTAAATTAACTTACCGTTCAAAGTATAAGTCAGGATCATTAGTGCGTTTCGCGTGTTCAATTTCTTCTCTGGACAATAATAAATCATCGCCGGTAATAAATGTTTTTTCTAATAATGAAAACGATTCTAAAAGACCTTTATCTGTTTGTTCTGTCGTATACTTTTGATCATCGTCCTGTTCTTCACTCTCCTCCTCATCAGTTAACATTTCTTGTTTTAATTCAATTGTTTCATTATTTTGTGATGTCGCCATTTCACTCAATAAATTTAACTGACCAGCAGCAGCAATAATGGCTCTATGATTCTCGAGCTTTAAATCGTATACAGAAATTGGAAATCGTGAACAACGATGTCTTAATAACGAAGCAGTTCCAGTGCGAGACTTATAAACCAGAACCAGTGAGCATCCAACACACTGTACAAAACTTAATCGGACACCTTGTTGTTTGGAATAACACGGAAAAGAGAAAGAGAAAAAATCAGCAAGATGAAAAAGAAAAAAAATGTAAGTAGCGACAACAAGCAAACACTACACAGCCAATGACGTCACGTTTTCACAGATCACTGACCTTCAAAGTGTCTTTATAAGCTTGTCTCCGGTCACTTGTGTGCAAATTAAAACATTATTTCCTCTTACCTTTATAAAACACAATACGAAATCTCTCCCAAATCGGTGACTTAAACTTCTCGGGTGCTATTAATTCAATATCACTATCTTGATTATACAGTAATTTTATTACTTCGTTCTTTGATAAACTGCACGAACTGTCGGTTGTTGTTTCATCTTGAAAATTACTCATTATCGTTCATTGCAATCATTGAAGTTAGAATGTTCTTAAATATTCTATGCTTTATATTGCTTTATATCGTTTTAAACATTCGCCATTTACAGAAGGAAAAGTTAATTACAAAACACGCGCGGAATAGATTTGTGACCGAGTAGTAAGACTACTGCACGAATAATGAGAACAACCGAAAAAGACGCAAAAGAATATGAGAGAGATACGTGTATTTCGTTGTTATTTCTATAGAATGTGTTTATTTTAACAATGTGTTTAAAATTTCGGGATGAAAAAAAAAGTTAATGAAATGAAGCACGAAACCACTTCTTTCTTATAATATATCTGTAATATTTCTACTTTAACTTCAAGCCAAAAAAAAAAACAACTGAACGGTAGAAAGATGAAATAACAATGAATAAAGTATAAAAAAGAATGAAAAATGCTGAACTGAACAAAAAATCGATGAAAAAACCCGATGCTTTTGATTGTGTGTTTCGTGACGATGATGATTCACGAAAGAGCGGAAAAAATATTTGTCAGGGATTTTAAACTAGCTTCTCTCATCATATATATACTCAATGACTAATCAGATTATTTACTGTACAGGAAATGTAGTCACAGAACAAAATAATCGTCGGATTATATTTGAGTTATTCTCTCATACTCATTTCGTTACAATCATTTTGTAGCCCTGTAACATTCTTGCACGCACACAAATGCTCGATAAATTTCATGGAACGGAACGAGGGGAACGAATGTATTGTGAATGTAGAAAATGAGAGAGAAACGAGACAAGCGAGTACAAAGTATACAACAAAAAAATTCCCTGCTGTTGATGAATCAGTCACGATTTTTTTCCTTCTATCCATCGTTTTGATTATTATGTGCATGTTTCAAACTTTATTGTATAGGTATGAGAGGGACTAAAAAGAAATCGCGATTCACACACGGACACTTTCGAAGAAGAACTTATTCACATATTTTGTCTTTATAAGACCACTTTTGTCATGTTTAAAATAAAACATTGTGACTGATTTAGATAGCAAAAATTAAATAATAAAATTTAATGCATAGAAACATTCTTCACGCTTAGTGCATTTAAAAATATTCATTTTTTGTTCTTTTACTAACCTTCTGTCAACTGTTGACAAACACAAATAATACATCAGTGGATTTTCTAATTGTGGACATGGAAAGCCAATATTGTGAAAATACTCGAGCATCGCTCTGGTTCCACCAGAGTAGACAGCACCTCCAAGGCATAAGAAAAGTGCACTGGAAAATTTGAATTAATTAAGATCAGCCTTATAATTATTATGTGATTAATCTTACCGATCTAGAAATGGAAAAACATCTGAGCGTGGTTTTTCCATGCTTAACAATATTCCACAACCTGTCTTTTTTGCTGAATTTGATAGAATTGATATGAGTAAATAAGATGCAAGTGGATCTAAATTTTGTGTCGGCTCATCTAATAGCAACATTACTGGGTCACGAACAAGTTGCACTCCAATTGCTAAGCGACGTCGTTCACTGACGGTCAGATTCTCAACTTTTCTATTAGAGACTTGTGATAGAGCCAAATCTGCAAGAACTTGACGTACTTTAGAGCTCTTCAAGTATCCACTTAATATAGTTGGGGTATAATGAAGGGTTTGTGAAACAGTCAATCCTGGAATAAAATCACATTGATGCGTGACATATCCACAACGTTGTTGGAAAAGATTTTTTGTCAACGGTGCACCATTCAGCAACACAGATCCTCTGCCTACAAATAGTATGTTTTAAAGTTCTTTCAATGTATTAAAAATTTTTTTAAACTTACCACGTCCTTCAGCTCTTCTCGAAATCACATCAAGTAAAGCTCTCTTTCCACTTCCTTTAGAACCTAATATTGCCATCACTTCTCCGCTGTGTAGAGTTAAATTAACTCCTTTAAGAACAAGAGCCGAGGTAGAATCCCCGGAAAAGCAACTTCCTCCATCAACCTAGGAAATAATAGAGTCATGATTTTATTTCCTTCTGTTTATCTCCATGCATGATCATGAAAAATAAACAAAAGATTTTTGAGAGAATGAGAAACGAACCCATCGTTTGAGAGCAAGAGAGGAACATTTAAGAGAGAATATCTCATGGTTAAAATGAGAATAAGAAGGCTCGATCATTAATAGGTTCTAATAAGAAATTTATTTATTTTACAATTTTTTTGGACTTAAATATGTAAGACCCAATAAGGGTCACTAGAAATAAATTAATATTCTTACATTTGTAGTGTGATAGATGTTGAGAGCCTCCAAAACATAGTCACTTCCAATCATCTTTTTAACGATTTTAATAGAATTATAAAGAATTTCAAACTGCGACTTTATTGCTTTTCACATTAAACAATTTATAAAGTAACTTAGTAATTTCACTGTTAATCTATAATTCAGTTTTCAGCTCAAAATCTAATTATTTTATTAAATACACTAAAGAAGAAAATAAAAGGCTTCCAGTTTCTTCAAATGTTAACATCAAACTGAAGAACTAGCTCTCAAAATGAACAGCACTGAGATCAAAATGTAATGTAAGTCTATTTCATTCGTTTTAATAGTGAGACAGAAAACAAGCGAAACAGGTGTAATGAACAAAGTTAAATGCTGAGTTTAGACCAAAGATGTTGAATTAAATTTAATTGTTACACTATGTTTAAATGTTTAAGATGAAAGTTTAATTAATTTCTTATAAAATGTCAAACTTAGTCCTCAAAATTGTTATACTTTTAATTTAACATTTTAAATTTTAAAAAAAATTATACCACTGATCGCTCGCGAGAGCAAATGAGCAGCACAACTATATTACCATTCATTCGATACTAAATTCTCTTTCTACAGTGCCACTTTCATTCAGTGGATTCTACTCGCGTTGTTCAGTTGCGTTTCCTCTCCAACAGTCTTTAACTTCTTTATATATTTTTTTATTTCATTAATTAGTGAAATATTCTTGCAATTTTTAATGTGTGTATATCGTGAAGTGGGAAATTAGTTCAAAGTTTTTTTTTTCTCTTATTTCACTCAATAAATAAATATATTTAATCAATGAATGTGAAATTTTATGAATTTATGTGAAAGAATTCTAAGCAGAAAAGAGTTTTATTACTAACACAAATAACCTGTTGGAATAAAGAAGAAAAATTAATTTTTTAATGTCGATACAGCCAAAAAAAAAGAATGAAAATGTGAATAATAAAAAAGAAGAAAGGAAAAAAAATATATAAATTGAGAGTTGTGAAACAAAAAAAAAAGAATCATTTGGATAAATTTTTAACTCATGAAAGTGTCCATTCGCTAAGTGATGAACTAATTTATTTGTGCTAAATACGCAAATGGATTCATCAGTGATGGCATAAATTTTCTCTCCATAATAATCGTCATAAGATTTTTATTCATTCATAAAAGCAACATTGGACAAATATTTTATCACGCTATAAACATCCCAGACAGGTGAGTAAATGAGCTAAATGAACCGTTTCAGCATCAGTAATGTGTCTATTTGTTTTACAATGCTGATACCGCATTTTCTAGTTTCTCTTCCGAATTGTTACCGCATATGGGTCGCTCAAAACTGTTATTACATGTTTGCAATGGAAACCGTAACCCAAAAAATAAGAACTTTCCTCTTAATCACTTCATTTTCCTTAGAAGGGCTTCCTTTATGGAAATTGTTAATCTTCAATTTTGCCATTTTTGGTAATTTATTATTATACCATGATTTTTTGTTGATGTGTAATTAGCAACTCTAAATGCTCAACTAATTGTGTGCTGCTATTGTGTGTCAAATAACTTTTTTAACAATTACTTATTCATAAAAACATAAGATAATGGAAGGAAATATTCAATCCTAAAATTAAAACTTTAGCGAGTTAAGTAAGAAGAACCTCAAACATGCGATCAGATTTTTGTTTTAACAAGTCATGGAATAAAAACTCGTTCTTTTTGTAATTTCTCTTTGACATAGTCCATCGCAATTCCTATGTACCGCTTAATTCTTGCCTTGTGTTTAATGTCTTATACAGCATATTTCTGTCTGCGCGACATTTTTGGGTTGGGTTATTTGTTTCAAGTTGAGAGCTTGAGCAACTCACGTCACGATAACTGTAATCATCAGATTTGTTGAAATGATGGAGAGAAGAAAAAAATATGTTATTATATCTTTTTTTTGTACTCTTGCAAGGCTTCAAAGAATTGTGGCAATTGGGATTTTTTTTTCTTTATTTTTACATTAACAGTTTAAATATAGCAACTTTGATGATTATTGCAGCGGATTCTTACGTATTGAACAAAATAATTTACTCATTATTGGGAAAAGAATTTGTTGGATTATGTACGCACGTTAATTTACAATTTTCAATTGGGTATTAACTTTAAAAATTATTGATTTCAGTTACTTTTCATGCTGAAGAAAATTATTTTAACAATTTAAATTACATCTTATGGTAGTCTTATTATTTGTACTACATGTTGAAAAATAGTTTTTGAGCAAATAATAGCATTACACAGAATACGATCAAAGTTTTAGAAACTTAAAGTGCTTTATTGAAGTGATTTAATTTCGTTCGTAATTTCACGAATGTTATATTATTTTTGTATGACTTGTAATGGAATTAAATGATTAGTACTCTTTCCACATAGCGGTGATCAACCGGAAAATGAAGACCATATAAAATTTATACTTGATATATAATGCATAAGTTTGAAATGAGTAGGTGTTCAATATTAAAATCAATGATATTTTCTTTACCACAATAATGGGCAAGATCAGAAAAAAAGTGAAAAAATCTTCAAATGCTGATTTCTCTGCTTCCGAACATCCAATTTGTATGATTTTTTCACAGGTCGATAGCAAATTTCAGAAAGTTCAACTTATAATTTCATTTTTCAAAATGGCGGTTTAATAAGTTAGCTTAATTAACAAATTCACATTTGAAATTGATTTTTCTTCATGAAAAAGCAAGCTAAATGTTCAAGTCCTTGACAAAAGTTGTAGATTAGGATATTTTCTATCATAACATCAGACTAAAGCTTAATAAAAATCAATAGATTTAGTTATTTTAACAAAAAATCAACTTGTCGAAAAATTCCTTTTTCAGCAAAAATACTAACTCTAGTCGACCGAAAACAATTTTTAAGTAATTAAAAAGTCATTGTGTATTGTAAATGTTTGTTGAAAATGCTTAAAATTGAGTTAAATTAACTTAAAAACATTGTAATTTCAATTGAGCAACATGTTTTGCTCTGTGTTGCTCATGATTTCACACAATATTTGAATTTTTCAAAGCCGTTACAAATATTTTGGTTAAATTATTTAAACTTTTATGATTTTCTTGACTTTCCATAAAGATTTTTAAGTTTTTCTTTTGCAAAAAGATGCATCTAATGTATTTTTACAGTTTCAAGTTGAGAGATCATTAAAATAATAAAAGAGTAATGGTTAAATAGAAGTTTTCTTAAACTCACTGTAACTTTCTTAATTAAAGTAAAACTTAAAATTTTCTTTTATAAACTTAAAGACAGTCATATTTGCTAGCTTTTTTGTAATGAAAGCAAGTTATTAAGATGTTTCTTTCATATAGAAATTTCAACCTAAACATTTAAAACATTAATTAAGCTAACTTAAAATACCACCATTTTAATAATTTTATGCAAATAATTCACTATTCTGATCATTTAATTACTCAGTGAAAGAATTTCTAAGATTGGTGAATCAGTTGCAGAGATATTGAATTAGCAACATGGTGTAAAATCGAATTTCCTCAAAATTGTTCGTGACGCTAAGCACTTTAAATTAATTTTTAATTATAATACAATGTCTAAGAGATACTTGTTATACACCAAAATAAAGGTCTTGGCAAGGACTTTAAGAAAAACACAAGTCTTAAATACATATTTCGCATTATTAATTCAAAAATTGTAAATTATTGCTTAGCGTCACGAACAATTCATTTTCGATCTTGCCCTAATGGTTGCGTACAAATATTCGTTAACAATTAGGATGCAATTTTTATGAATGATCAAAAAAAGGAAATCTTGCGTAACTTACATTTAATAATAACAATTAATTACTCATCAAATCAAGTCTGAGAATTTATATTTATGACACAATGAAAAGTCAGCTGTGATGTTTAATTGAAACTTTTTTTGTCACATCAACGTAAAAAGTAAATGAAATAATTTGCAGTATTGTCGTGAAATGCATCATTTCACTTCAATGAAGTTGTGGATGAAATATGAATGATATCATAAAGCACAATCTCACGTGAAAATTAGATAAAGCAAAGCTGAGCATTTCCATTTTACTCTCAATTACATTAACCACAAGAAAAACTTTCACGAGACATTAGTAGTCATGCTTTTAAGGCAGAACTGATTAGTATGCATGTCTCTCCCACTGGTATTAGATTAACCAGAAATTGTGGTTAAACACTTGATTTAATTTCAAAGATGACGTCAGTTTCAATGTCGATGAACACTAACACACTTCAGTAGCTTGATCAGTAGTAAATATGATATGATAATATTTGAACCGGGAAAATTAATCTAAGACATTGCATTGTTAGGACGTTCTATTAGCACCATTGAGTTTTTTTATCACTCAGTTGTAGATTTGTTGGCTATAAAAGAGAGAATCTTCAATTGCTCCCAATTTTCTCTAACCAGTTACACAACAATTGTGCTCCATTGATGATAGATCTGAACAGTATGTGTTTTACTCCATACGTACTATTGTAGCTATTCTCTTTTTGATGGAATTACTTAGAATCTTAAGTGTATTTACCATTTGCAGCTTTTTAAATATTCATCACATGCATTCGCTTCTATTTACTCTAATACAAAAGAATACGAAGAAAATGAGTAGAAAAGAAGAGAAAAAGCCGTTACTAATCCTTTCAGTCAGACATTTACGTGTTGAATTCTTCTTTGAATAATCATTATTGTTTTTCCCTTTCTTTGATGATTCATAAAGAGCTGTAAATACATGAATAATTTTCTTCACTGACTCGCTAAGTCATAAGTCAAACCAGCAAAATGCAGATTAAAGAACTGTGTGCTCAAAAAAAGAGATTACGACTGTGAATGTATAAGCGGTTTATTTTACAAATTCTTCTTTTGTGAATGAATTTAGTCTATAGACAAGACGCAAAATATTTTAATAAATGAATCCTACTTACTTACATACTTTTCATTGTTTCTGGATATTGTTCGGGAAAATGGGGCCCTTTTGTTTCTAAAATATGTTTTGGTAAAGGATCAATGGTGAAATAATAACATTGAAATTGTTTTAAGTTTTTAAAAGTTTGTTTCAATAATAACTGTAATGAATACCGAGAAATTGCAAATTTTACGATAACTAGGAAAAATTTCTGGTTATCGCTCAAATTATTCATTCGGACTTCTGTCAAAGAAAAATAAACTTTTAAAACCTCTCAACCAAAGAACTTTTATATTTCTCCACAATTACATAGTTACACACTCTTTTCTACAAACGTTGGTCATCGTGATTAAATATTCTTTTAAAGCATTAAACTATATTGATTTACAGAACACATTGTCATGAAAATCTTGAAAAAAAAATTTTCTTTTCTTTGTCTTTCAAAATATTAGCCCAGCATTAGCCACATGAATTTTGAGTCATGAGAATTTTGAGAATGAAGCCATAAAAAAAAAGTCAAACGCATACTCAAAAATGAAAAGAATGATGTAAAAGATATAAAATTAGAGTGGAAATTTGAAGCAAGAAACAGCATGAAACTGCTCAAGGTTAAAAAGTGTCTTCATGAACTTCTTCTGCCATGTCTATCTCTCTCTCTTTATATTTATCTTCATACTATCTATCTACCAACCGTCGTAAAGCAGAAGTTACGTGTAATCCGTCTGTACAGTACACAATATTGAATATACACACAGAAGAAGATTGGTGTAATGGAATAAACGAAATAAAAACTCTTTTTTAAGAATCAGCAAAGTATAAAAAGTTCAAAGAACTCTTGACGGTGTTAGAATAGGAAATAATGAAAGAAAACGAATTTATTCGTTCTATCAAAGTAAATTCTGAAGAAAAAAAAGCAATTGCATTTTATTAGAAATTTTCTTATTTTCCACAATAAATTGTTTGAGAATCCGTCTGTGACCATTATTAATATAATACTGCACAGAAACTCAGCATAGCCACATACTTAAGTTAATTTCAATTCTTCTTTTTCCAGCAATTTTCTCTTTCTATGCCATTTCCATTTTCCATTTCTTGAGAAACAATAGTGCACCATAACAATTTTGAATTTTAATGGACATAGATTACAATTTAACATTTTTATTTTTCCTTCATCTCTGTGAAGTCTATAACTATAGCTCTGACCATCCATAAGAGCTTCATGTGATGATTTCATTTCTTTTTCCTATCATTTTAATCCAACTATTGTTACTTACATGTTTCTATAAAATTGCAT